AAAAAAAAAAAAAAAAAAAAAAAAAAACTTTAGTTTGTGCCGTTGACATAAATCTATCTAGCACAATGGTTTTGAATAAAATTTGTGTTCTGTCGTGTTCTGTTTGAAATGAGATCTCATTTAGTGCAGGCTGTCCTTGAACTCCTGATCCTTCTGCCTCTTCTTCCTCAGAGCTGGATACAAGAATGTGCCTCCACACCTGGCAGGATTTTTTAATAACTTTTATAGCAGATATTTAAACAAGGTGTGGTTTTTCAGTCCATTCTCTGTGACTTCATGGCTATATAACCTTGGATGACTTAAACCTCCAGATACAAAATAGATGCAACTGGACTGAGGAGTTGTCAGTGCGACACACATATGTAAAGTGCCTAGCCAGCAGCAGGCAGATTCAGTGAGCTTCATTTGGCTACCTAGGTCCATGAAGTTTATGTGTGCTGGGGGCGCCCACACTTGTGTGACCTCGGTGTTCTTCTGCTAACCATCTGCATTCATTGTCTATGCACACAGGCCAGAAGGACCTCCCAACCGAGAAAAGGCACACCTGGAATGCTTCATTTCTCAATTCTCAAATTCAAACAGTTACCAAAAGAAGAGATGCCATGACACACCGCATACTGTCAGCCCGACTTCATAAGATTAAAGAGCTGAAGAATGAGCTAGCCGACACACGCCGGAAGCTGGAAGCCACTGCCACAGAGAACCAAATCCTGAAGCAGCTTCAGCTCAGGCATGCAAAAGCCATCGGGAGATACGTGAGCTCACAAGACAGCCTGCCGCAGGTCACAGTTAGACACCAGAATGAGGTGAGAAGCCTGCGGCAGCTCCTTCGGAAATCCCAGGAGAAGGAGCGAGCTGTGGCGAGGAAGCTCCGAGAGACTGACAGTGAGCTGCTGAGGACTAGAGATGCCTTGCAGGCCCTACAGAAACTTTCAGAAGACAAGAGCCTTGCGGAAAGAGAAGAACTGACTCACAGGTTGACTGTTCTGACAGCCAAAATGGAGGCAAATGACAAAAAAATACAGGTTTGTATCTCAGAAGGTCCGGTATTGATAGAGAGGGTGCACGTAATTCAATCCACGGGCTGTGAGCCAGCTCACCCGGAAGTGATTGTGTTTAGTGTCGAGTGGGGGGAGGGAGGCAGAGCTGGAAAGAGGAGCACCGGTCTCAGAGCTGAGCATCGGCTCTCTCTAGCCAGGCTGTGTCTGGAAACAACTGGTCTGACAGCCACACTCGGTACCAGTGTGAAGCAGAGGCCTTCTTGTGCTGTGAGAGTCGCCTTTTGAAATGAACGCCTGCGTTCAGCTCCTGCTGAAAGGCTGCCCCCCCTTGCAGAGCATTCTTTCTGTCTGTCTGTCTATCTGTCTGTCTGTCTGTCTGTCTGTCTAGCTCCCTTTGCTTTTTGTCTCTCCTCAGTCTGACAGATTATAGACTTGTTTCCACATAAACAGTTTTAGTTATTTCAAAATCATGTTTCTCAGGGAAGAAGGAAACGGCAGGGAGAGTAACAGAGAGGAGGGGAAGGGGAGAGGGGAGAGGAGAAAGTGAAGGAGGGATGGAGAGAGGGAGGGGAGAAGGGAAGGAATGGAATGAAAATAACTGGAGAGATGGATGGAAAGCCAGGGGATGTCACCGAAAGGGACACTAATCACACAGAGTCCTGCCTGCTTACACGACCCTTGTGGACATAAACACAGATGGAGTTGACGTACTGTTAATTCTTCGATACTTAATGGTGACAAACACTTTCTTTGATAAGAATTAGGTTGTTGCCGGGCGATGGTGGCGCACGCCTTTAATCCCAGCACTCAGGAGGCAGAGGCAGGCGGATCTCTGTGAGTTCGAGACCAGCCTGGTCTACAGAGCTAGTTCCAGGACAGGCTCCAAAGCCACAGCGAAACCCTGTCTCGAAAAACCCAAAAAAAAAAAAAAAAAAAAAAGAATTAGGTTGTTTCACTCACATTTTCTGAACAGACAGAATAATATTATTCTGCTGGAAAAGTTCTCTACTTTCAGAGAAAATTGTCTTCCGTGGAATGGTGTTGGACACCAACAGCACTGAGTAGCCCATCTCTGCTACACCTAGGTCAGCATCTGGGGTGCTAGTGTAGGAGGGGGATCCACGCCTAGCAGGTTTCTGTTCCGTCAGTTATAGTCCAGTACTGTAGAGGGCGGCATGAAACCCATTACAACCTTCATGTCTGTTTCTAGGGATCTCTGTCCATCATGGTCTGCACTGAGGCTGGACCCTCTGGGGAGAGGGGCCAAGGGTCACCATCTGCAAAGACAGCAGAACGGCGCATTTGGGCCCCATGTTAAGACTCTGATTGTACTTACTGGTTCTTCAGGATGTGTTTGAGTATTTTTTATCAGTATCCATGGTTTGTAAAGAACACTGGGTATTGGGCTACAAAGGTATATTCTCTAGACCTGAGATCTGGGACTTGCTGGCCGATGTTTCATTTTGTTTTGTTCTAATGTTTGTCCACCAAGTCAGTGACTAAAGTCATGTTGAAGTTTGCACCTGTCATAAATGTAGCTCGTTTCATTGCAGTCAAGTTTCATGACGCCACGCTGGCTACAGAATAGTTGAAATATATACTGTTTTCAGAACTTGGAAAAACAGCTGAGGCTGAACAATCGATCCTTTGGTCGGCAGTTGGCCAAAGAAAACCGGAAGACATTAACAGCGCAAACAGCAACAAAGACTCTTCAGGGAGAAGTGCGGCAGCTGCAGCAGAAACTTAAGGTATTTCTTCCAACACAGTGTGTCCATCTGTCCAAACACCATCGCAGTGCGTCTTTCCAAACACCATCACGATGTGTCTGTCCAAACACCATCGCAATGCATCTGTCCAAACACCATAGTACCTACACCTATGTAGATGTCTTCAAGTTGTTTCTTCAGACGATAGTGAACAGATGGAGGAGAGAGAGTGGGCAGCCAAACCGCTGTGCACTGTGGTTAGAAAAACTCACCCTCTCTTCACAAGACTGTCTTCCCTGCTCCTCCGCAACAGCGAACAACAGTGCATCTGATAACATTCTAATGTTTTTAACTTAGAAATCAAACCACAGTCATGTTCAGAGTAAGTCCAATGGCCCTCGGGTTTATTTAAGGTCCTACTTGAGATGTAGCCCACTGGTGATGCACAAGGTGTGTGTGAGCTCGCAGTTTCCAACTTCACAGAGGCAAGGCCAGTCGTTTCCCTTGCAGGGCCAGATGTATGGAGACAGGAATGAGTAGCTGAAAGTCAGCCTGGGCTATCGAGCTAGCCTGGGCTATGTGAGACTCTGTCTCAAAAAATAGGACTGGCATGGCAAAGGGGCTTGCTGCTTAGCTTAGCCTAACAACCTGAGTTAGAACCCTGGGACCCAGGTGGTCAGAGAGAAAACCGAGTCTCCCAAGTTGTCCTCTGACCTCAACACATACATGGTGGCATGCATGTGCACATACATATATACATACATACACACATACATACATACACATAAATACAAACACAAACAATAAATAAAATGTAAAAAAAATTAAGAATGTGAGTCTTTTAAAACATTTTTTTAGATTTAGTTTACTTTTAAATTATGTGTTTATGCATGTTCCTGTGTGTGGATATATTTATGTGAGTGTCCACAGAGCCTAGAAAGAGGTATTGGAACTGGAGTTACAGGCAGTTGTGAAGCCCCTGATGTAGGTGCTGGGACCTGAACTCGGATCCTCTGGAAGACCAGCGAGTGCTCTTAACCACTGAGCCATCTTCCCAGTCCTGTTTTTAATTTATAATTGTGTGTACATTTGTGTGTGAGAGTGTGGGCTTGTAATCCTAAGTATAGTGCCCAAGGAGGTCAGAGGGGCACATCAGAGCCTCTCAAGTTGGAGTCTGGTCAGTTGTGAGCCACCCAACATAAAGATGGCTCAGCAGTTAGGAGTGCTCACTGCTCACACAGAGGACCTGGCGCTGGTCCCCAGCACCACATGGCAGCTGACACCCAGCTGTGACTCTACCCTCTTCTCATCTGCTCAACACACACACACACACATTTAAAATAATTAAGTAGAATAACCTGAATAGACACTTTTCAAAGAAGAAATTCAAATGATACAAAAATATAAAAACTGATCATATCTTTATTCATCAAGACAACACATGTCCTTACTCCCATGGGATCCCGCTTCACCCCAGCAGAAGGCTTTTACCACAGGAAAATGCTGCCAAGGATGCGGAGGGAAAAGACCTGCTGGTGGGAAAGTAGTTAGCTGAGCCTGAGGGTGGTGAAGGCTCCTCAGAAGGCTAAAAGCAGAAGGGCTATGTCAGCAGCAACAGCACAGATACACGCCTGAAACAAATGCAGTCCACATACAAAAAAACACACTCCAATACCTGTGTTTACACCTGCACCACTGACAAGCGCAAAGACGTGAAATCAGGGTGGGCGTTCAACAGCTTAAAGGATAAAGCATGATACATATACACACAGAGGTCATTCAACTGTGTCGTGTGTACATGTACATCCAAGTGTCAGTCAGTTGTACACATATGGAGTACACAAACTAGACGTTGACTAATATTTAGAGGAAAACTGTCACGTGTGGTGACTAACACAGTCTCAGCACTTGGAAGGCAGAGGCAGGAGGATTATGAGTTTGAGGCCACACCTGGGCTAGATAGCTAGATCTATGCCAACTGGGCTCTTTAGTGAGATTCCATGTCAAACACACACACATTTACACACACCAAAAAAGGTAACAATGTGAGATTCTGTCTCAAAACACACACATTCACACATACCAAAAAGAGATAACAGTGTGCAGAAGAAAGAACACGAGGGCTGGCCACAGAACCCACACTCGGGGCACAGAGCTATTGTTTGTGATTTTAAAACATCATTTTTTAAAAAGCCACTGTTTTTACCTTTCCTGTGTGAACTCCTAGTAGCCCAGCGGTGTGAAGGGCCATTCCTCCTTATAAATCATTCCAGTTAGCAAAAAGTTCACAGTGAATTAATCGCTCTAATCAGTGGCTAGTGATTGCCACTCAGTTGACAAACGAGAATCCATAAAGCATGTCCTCCCTGGTGTAAAGCTCATGCCAAAGAACCACCCTGATCCAGGCCACACACACCTCTGAGGAGTAAGTAAAGGGCTCCACAGAGAAGCTGTTAGCAGCACCCCCCTCTCCCCTGCCTGTGTCTACCACACACAAGCAGTAAGCACACAACAAGCTGCAGGTGCTGCCCTCAGCTAGAGAAGACGAGGTGATTCCGCACAGGACGGACACCTCAGCTGGATCGTTTCAAACTAACTCTGAAAACACTGAAAGACAACGGCAAAATTGTGAGACTAGATCTGATGGCGCTGAGGTCTGGTGGTGGCGCTGAGGTCTGGTGGTGGCGCTGAGGTCTGGTGGTGGCACTGAGGTCTGGTGGTGGCGCTGAGGTCTGGTGGTGGCGCTGAGGTAGTATTATTCCCACAAATAAATTAGGGACACATGGGTAATTGGGTATAATAAAAACACATCATAGAAACCATGCCTGAGAACTTCAAACACAAAAGACCAATGAAGGAAGCAACCCTCTCAATGGATGTCAGCCTTCCACAGCTCCTAAGGGAGATGCTATGACCTGGGCGTGCAGGCAAGCCCCAGGGAGCACCTAGCAAGAGGCTGCCGCCTCCTCTCGCCCTGAGTTGGTTTTATTTCCTAGGAGCGCAGGGGTCATATTCACTGTGGATATCCTACAAGCATGCGTGACATGTGCTGCCATCTGTGGTCCATCTTTCTTTTTCGGTTGACCAATCACACAAGTACCCTGGGTTGTGTTCCAAACCTGCTGCCTTGGTGTGCCCAGCTCCATCATACGGACCTTGAACCTCTCTTTTAAGCCCGAAGAAGGACTGTCCCTTGTGTTGCTTCCTTCTGACTGCACTCAACCCTGCATCCTCTCTGCTGAACTATGTTAATATCAAATGAAAAGACAGGATGAGCTTTCCAGAAAACAACTTGTTTGTTCCCGTAACACCAAATCTTCACCTAAAGCGGTGTGGGTGAGATCACGTGTTTGTTCCCGTAGACACCAAATCTTCACCTAAAGCCATGTGGGTGAAATCACTCTAGGGCTGGGAGGTGGCTCTTCAGTTATGAGCATTGCTGTTTTTGCACAAGACTTGGGTATGGCTCCTAGCACCCACATGGTGGCTTACAACCATGTTCACTTAACTAGGTCCAGAAGGTCCAGCACTGCCTCCTGGCCTCCATGGGCTTAACTGTTGACATTTCTGATCTCTGAACTAAAGGTTAAAATATAAGAAAGCAGAAAGGAGGAAGTGGACCATAATACTTTGTTTCTAAAAACATACATGTTAGAAAAAATATTATTTCTTATGCATGTGTGTGCATATAAAAATAAAATTTTATGATTAAATAGAGCAAAAAATAAAGGACTGGAGCAGCACCTGAGTGGTTAGGAGCATTGGCTGCTCTTGCAGAGGACCCAGGTTCAGTCCAGCACCCACATGGCAGCTCACACCATCTACAACTCCAGGTCCACAGAGTCTAATCCCCTCTTGTTGCTTCCGCAGGTACCAGGCTCACACACGGTGCTCATACATGATGCAGGCAAAACACTCATAAATATAATTTCTTAAAAACTTTTAAGAGTATAAAGCCTATGCTCTACAACTCAGACATACGGAGGTCTGTAATGTTTCCTTCACTGACGTGGGGAATGGTGATGGCCTGGGAGACAGCAGGCTTGTCTCAATATATAATTCAAGAGGTACATTTAAGGTCTTAGTTCCTTTCTTACCCCCCAACAAGTTAAAACTTAGAAAGCTTTTGTTTTGCCATTATTCAAAAACATTAATTTAGGGGTTTAGAGCTAAGCAGTGGCCTTCCTGTTACCTACCCCACCGTGTTGCGCAGCCCCGACAGTAGCTGGGATGAGAGCTTCATCTCTGCTATCCCATACTGTGGTCACTAGGTGTGGGTAGATTTTGATTTTGCTTCACTTTTAAACTACAGCATGTACCAGTGCTGCTATAGCCACAGTGCTTTTCTCTTTTAAGTCAAGGTTAGAAAGCAGGTGTTTGTGGGAGACTGACGCTGTGGCTCTTCTTAGGAGAAGGATCGCGAGCTGGAAATTAAAAACATCTACACTAATCGAATACTTAAAAACTTACATGAAAAGGAAGATTACCCAAAAGGTAGGTTTCAGTTTCTTTTGCTCAAAAAGTATTTTTAAGTATCCGCGCATAGTTTCCTAGTTTACATAGAAAATCTCTAACAGCCGCTTGACTGGGTGCTGGAATGCATTTGGTGATTGTAGAAAACCGGAGTTGTGATACTGTCCAAAGAACCAGAATGCTCTGTTCCCACAGGGCTCAGGAGCAAAAGGACTGCCAAACGCAGCCCTCTAAGGAGATGGGTAAGCCGGTGTGGAGCTTCTGAACACTTTATGACATGTCCCCGTGTAACCATCCCTGGTCAGAATCACATGCACGGCAAGGTCCCTGAGGCCCGAGCAGGCACTGGGTTCTCACTCTGGAACTCCATACACAGCTCTGTTCTGTGCCAGTTCCCTTTGTTCAGCATGGTGCTCCCGGCCGGTGCTCCAGCCCTGCAGTCTACTGTAACAAGACAAATGTGCTCATGGGCTCTGCTCCCCTCCCAGCCTCAGGCTCTGTGCAGAGAAGGCACCGTGGAACCCTCCCCTCCAGGGCAGTAGAAGCCGCCAGGTTTGCTGTCTTGGCCTCCATTCACTCTGGACTGTAATCCTGAGTAATGCCTACCAGAAAAGACCGTGGTGTCTGCTGTCACCATGAACGTTTCCGTGTCCATGGCTCTTGCTCACCAGGCCTCAGGAGCTGACATGGTGCGGCAGGAGCTTGGCCTCTCACAACCACCAGAAAAACAAAACAGCAGTGCAGCCTCATCCCAGAGCCTCCTGGCTTCCCTTAACTCTGCGATGTGCAGAGCCTGAGGCCCAGCATAAGACAAAGGTGGGACAAGAGGTGAACCCTACGATGTGCTGCCCACTTAGAAAGTGTCTCCTACAGTGTGTATCATGGTTCTATTGGACGCTTAAGGGCTACTTCATATTCTAAATCAGTGTAGCTTCTGAACATTAAATGTTTCTCACATATAATCTACCTATTTTATAGTTTCTTCAACAAAATCAGTACAAGCAGACAGAAAAAGTTTGCCATCTGTAAATATGAGACACCAGGAAACCCAAAAGTCGGATGTGCCACTGTGGACAGCAAAGGTATGTGAGCTCCACAGTCTTGCATTGTTCTGAAAGTCTTCACAAGAATCCCAGCACTCGGGAGGCAGAGGCAGGCAGATCTCCGTGAGTTCAAGACCGGCCTGAGTTCCAGGATAGCCAGGATTGTTCCTCAAAAAACCCTGGGGGAGGGGAGTAGCTAAAATATACAAAAAAACACTGATATTCATTTAGAAAATTTGGATATTTATTATATAAAAATATAATTTAAGAGGCTGGAGAGATTGGAGAGATGGCTCAGAGGTTAAGGGCACTGGCTGTTCTTTCAGAGGTTCTGAGTTCAATTCCCAGCAACCACATGCCTCGCATGGTTCACAACCATCTATAATGGTGCCCTCTTTTGGCCTGCAGGCAAACATGCAGGAAGAACACTGTATACATAATAAATCATTTTAAAATTTTTATTTGAAAAATGTAATTTAAAATTATAAACATGCACTTTTTGCTGCTTTTCTAAATTTAGGGTAAAAAGACAACAGGAAACATTGGTCATAAAGGAAAATCAACTGAAATAAACCATGACATTTCTTGCTACATGTGTAAACTACCAAAACAAGAGGAGTCTAAGCGAAACTATGAAGGTAACTGAACAGTTTTAAAAAGTCTCCTGCCCACTAGGCACTGGTGGCACATGCCTTTAATCCCAGCACTCGGGAGACAGAAGCAGGCAGATCTCTGTGAGTTCGAGGACAGCCTGGTCTACAGAGTGAGCGCCAGACTGGCTCCATAGCTACTAGGAAACCCTGTCTCAAAAACCAAAAACAAAGTCTCCTGCCATACATAATGGGCCTCACCACAAGCTCAGAGCCACCCAGTGGGCAAGGTCGTGAATTAGTCAGTAGTCCACAGCCTCTGCCAGGCTCCTGGGGGCAGATCCACGACAGGAGAGGCAGAGAGTGAACGGGCTGCTCAGAGGTCCAGACCTCAGATCACCACAGTCAAAGCAAGATGCCTCTGTGGGTGTGAGGAGCCTCAGCCAGCCAATTTCATGAGTTCTTTGTATATTTTGGAGATCAGACCTCTGTCTGATGTGGGGTTAGTGAAGATCTTTTCCCACCTGTAGGCTGTTGTTTTGTCTTGTTGACCGTGTCCTTTGCTTTACAGAAGCTTTTCAGTTTCAGGAAGTCCCAGTTATTGTTTCTCTCAGTGTCCGTGATGCTGGGGTTCTATTTAGAAAGTGGTCTCCTGTGCCAATGTGTTCAAGTATACTTCCCACTTTCTCTCCTATAAGGTTGAGTGTGGCTGGCTTTATGTTGAGGTCTTTGATCCATTTGGACTTGAGTTTTGTGCATGGTGATAGATATGGATCTATTTTCATTCTTCTACATATTGATATCCAGTTATGCCAGCACCACTTATTAAAATGCTTTTTTTTCCATTTGATATTTTTTGCTTCTTTATCAAAGATCAGGTGTTCAAAGATGTGTGGATTGATAGTTGGGTCTTCTACTCAGTTCCATTGGTCCGCCTGTCTGTTCTTATGCCAGTACCAGGCTGTTTTCAGTACTATAGCTCTGTAGTAGAGTTTGAAGTCAGGGATTGTGATGCTTCCAGAAGTTCTTTTATTATACAGGATTGTTTTGGCTATCCTGGGTTTTTTGCTTTTCCATATGAAGCTGAGTACCTTTTTTTTTTTGTTGTTGTTGTTGTTGTTTGGTTTTTTTTTTTTTTTGGAAGAATTTTGCTGGGATTTTGATGGGCATTGCGTTGAATCTAGCTAGTTCTTACATTTTAAATAACCCATTTCTATTATTTTATATTTTACCATGAGGCTCATGGTTTACCAGTAAGGTTCTGGCAGCTACATGGCATCTCTCTGACTCCATCTTCTTTCTCCCAGCATTCAGTTTAGTTTTCCCACCTAGCTCTATTCTGCCCTGCCATAGGCCAAAGCAGCTTCTTTATAAACCAACAGTATAAACACATTCACAGCATGGGGAGAGGGGGGGATCCCACATCAGCTACCGTTCCCTCATAATGTTGAAGACAGTGGTTTTGTATTTCATCACTGCCGACAGCTGAGCCAGGGGAACCTGTCAAGGCTAAGTGGGAGGTGAGCAAGCCCAGAGTCCTGAGGGCAGAGCTGGGGGAGGACCTGAAGGGCCATACTGATGTTTAGGTAACAACTTTAGCAGCTGCATTTCCCAGGCTAGGTAGTCACTTAATTTTTCCACCTTTTAAGATGTATTGTATGGGGCTGGAGAGAGGTTAAGAGCACCGACTGCTCTTCCAGAGGTTCTGAGTTCAATTCCCAGCAACCACATGGTGGCTCACAACCATCTATGATGAGACTTGGCGCCCTCTTCTGGCCTGCAAGCATACATGAAGGCAGAATATTGTATACATGATAAATCTTTTTTAAAAAATATTTTAGGTATATGGGTATTTTGCCTGCATGCAGAGATATGTGCACCACACACATGCTTAGTATGATGCCCCCCCCCCGGGAATCAGAGTTACAGACAGTTGTGAGCTGCCATTTGGGTGCCAGGTATTAAACCCAGGTCCTCTGGAAGAGTTGCCGGTACTCTTACACTGAGCCATCTCTCCAGCCCTTTCCACTTATTTTTAATCCACTTGGAAAATTTATTTGTTCATTTGACAAATTCTATTTGAGCATATTCGATGGTGAGGCATGGTTCTAGGTGTGTGTGCACACACACGTACACACACACACACACACACACACACACACACACCAGCAGCAGCAGGAACAGATACAAAATACCCTGAGCTCCTGTTCTAGTGTAGAATCGTCATTCCCATAAGGCTACTTGCCCAGTTACCCAGAACCTCACAGCAGCACGCTGCCCTTAACTCCCCTCCCCTGCACATTTGCAGAGTTGGACGACACTAAAGCATGCTTGCTGTCTGCACAGCCCTGCAGCCTTCTGGCTGCGTAGGGTTGTTCCTAGAGATGAAAGTGCTGGGCCACTAGAAACTGCCTACACAGCTATCACGGGGCCATTCCCTCAGTGTCTGACAGAAATGGATCCTGTTTGATGAGTACCATCAAGAGATTTTCTTAGTATTTGTGCATAAATATTTTTCTTCTTTTCCTAATTCCCATTTATTTAGAACAGTCTAGGAAAGCTTATTAACAATGACCCCTTCTGTGTGTTAGTGTCCTGTGCGTATTCACCCCCTGTACCATTTCAGTGACATGTCTGAAGTCTCGGGAGGTGTGCTAACATGCCACCCCGAAATGGAAACCCACTGAGCGCGCTCTCTCTCTCTCTCTCTCTCTCTCTCTCTCTCTCTCTCTCTCTCTCTCTCTCTCTCTCTCTCGTTGGTTTTTTATGGAGCTGGGGCATCAAATCTGGCAGGCACCTTAGGCATGCTAAGTGAGTGTTCTATTACCGAGTTACACTCTCAGCCCCAAATACATCGTTTGAGAACCAGGCAGGCCACCTTGTCTTCTTCCTCCACTACTCTCGGCCTCATTGCTTTAAGGCAGGGCTCTGACTGAACAAAGCTAGCTACACATTAGCCTAGACTGGCCCACCACCAACGCTCAGGCCTGACTCTTGCCTCGGCCCCTGCAAGTCAAGTTCTGGGGGTAGAACTCAAGCCCTCAGCTTGTTCCCTCAGCCACTGCACCATGGGGAGTGGGGTGCTTCTAAAATCTATTTCTTGTTTGAGGGCACTTAATCTTAATCTTTCTAATGCAGATTTATCAAAGGAGGTTGAACACCCAAAACCACAAGCCTCTCTGGAAACTCTTAGGAAGCAAGAAGAGAAAAGGGAAGATCAAGAAAAGAAAGTCATCCCACCAGAAGTAGAGCCAATTGCAAAGGAAAGTGTGACCCCTGCACACCCAGAGGGTGAGGTTCCAGCCAGGGAAGTGGCTGTGGTGGCTGAGGTGGCCCAGGAGGGAGAGGCCTATGATGTGGAGCCTGGGCCAGCCCCAAACAAGACCCCTCGGCCAAGGAAGCACTACTCCTTCACCGAGGCCACTGAGAACCTGCACCACGGGCTGCCCACATCCTGTGGGCAGGCCTCGGGCAGCCCACGCTGCCGCCACGGTATGGGCAAGCACCGCAGCGACCAGGACTTGCGGCTGGAGCCTGCCAGCTATGAGCCCTCCTTCGGCAAGGCCACCAGGGTCAAAGCCAAGGAGACAGCCTTCCGGGACAAGAAGAGCAGCCTCATGGAGGAGCTCTTTGGTGCAGGCTTCGCGGGCAGGAGTGGCCCCACCAATGGCGAGGTGGCCGGCAAGGCCCAGCAGCTCGGACCCAGCCAGGCCTCTGCCAGCAACGCCTTTGGGGACTCCAGAGCCACCGTGGTACGGTCTATCCAGGCCTCACCCGCCGAAGGAAACAGAAAAACGGTTATTTAAATGCAACAGAGGCCTAATACATTCTGGTTTATATACTAGTTACGTGCCTTTAATCTTACTTACCATGTGAGGGTTTACATAGTGTCTGTTTTAGTACTTGGGTGGACTGCAGGTAATTTACTGCTATCTAATAAAATAATCCGCTGTACCTTGATCAACGGTAACATTTTAGATACAAACTTACACCTTTACTATGAAGGCAAAAATCGTCCACTCTTCAGGCAGACCAGTTTATTACAGAGCTTGGAGATGCGGGACTCACAGTGACTCTTGTTCAGCCATACAAACTCTATCAACAGGACTACTGTCAAAACATCATGGAAGAGGCACTGGCCAGCAAGAGAGCTACCAGACTCAAAAAGACAGTACAGAGATTCACGCTCTGCCTCGGTCATTGCCGGTGGTCTCCTGCTCAGCGGAGCAGTCTGAGTGCCCTGCCTTTGAGAGCCAATCTGTGCCTGTATAGGAGGCTGCATTTTTTTGTTGTTGTTGAGATATATTACTCTTTTGTTATATAATGGTCTCTTCTCTTAACCTTGTCCTAAAACAACTGTATGCTCGAGCTAGCTGCTCAGGTCTAAGAGCTTTTGTTGGAGCTATAAAGGGTCTGAATTCCCAGCCTACACTGTGTAACCCGCCTTCCTTTAGCTATAGGAGCAACAATTCCATATCTGGAATTGGCCACACTGTCTCCAGATGTTTATACACTAGTGTATATTAGCACCAATGGCTCAGTGTCTGCTGAGGGGTGATGCTGCCGCCGCCTGTGGCTGCTCTCGCCCACATCTCAACACTCAGGAGGCAGAGGGTGTTCTGAGTCTGGGCCAGCCTGGTCTTCATGGTGGGTTCCAGGCCAGCCAGGGCTGCACAGGAAGACCGTGCCTCAAAAAAATTAAAATTAAAAAAAAAATTAATTTTGGTTTTTCAGGTTTTTTCCTTTCATCTTTTTTAAAGGACATACACAGCAACATTCATAAACATGGATCATCTTGGAGAACCCTAGGAAGCAGGTAGCAGTGGAGCGTGGAAAACTGACAGGGCAGAGGGACAGAGACACTTTCTGCTGCACCTTTCCCTGGTTAATTCAATGTTTATTACCCATTTTTAAACAAATACAATTCTGGGGGGAGAGACTCAGTGATATCCCCCACTCAGCCGTACACACATTATACACATGGGGACACGAGCAGCCTTACATTACACGTGTGGAGCACTAACATCTGGGAACAAGCTAACCCTTTGTCACTGTTTTCCTGCAGTCAGCTGTCATCACACATCCCTTGAGAGGCCCAGGTCTGGTTGGCGTTAAGCACCATTCCAGATCACAGCTCACTACAAAAGGACCGGGTGCAAGCATACCCTTCCCCACCCTGAGTGCCGAGCTCCTGAAGCGAGCCCAGACTGTGCAGCGGATGTGCAGGCCAATGTTGGCAATGCCGACTGCTGCACACCACTTGTGCCCTTTATACACCAGCCTAGTCACCCTGGTGCAGTGTAAGTCTACAGCGTCTGCTGCTCGGGTGGTGCTCCATCTGACACTCGCCCTATTCACAGTACAGTCAGCCAAAAGAACAAGCTGTTTATGAGATCACTAGGAAACATAAGAATATAAATATGATCCTTCAAAACCCAGTGCTATGCCTTTAATCCCGGCAGCTAGGAGACAGAGACAAGTGAATCCCTGTAAGTTCCAGGTGAGCCTGGTCTACGTAGTGAGTGCCAGGACAGCCAGAGCTGTGCAGAGACTGTGATGGTGCTAGCTTGTGGCTTTTCTGTGCTGTGGCTCCCCAGAGTCTAGGCTATCAGCACTGGCCAATACTGTAACTAGGAAAAGTGCTTCAAAAACAGACTTGGAGCCAGGTGAAGCAGCAAACACCTTTAATCCCAGTATTTAGGAGACAGAGGCTGGTGGACCTCTGTGGATTCAAGGCCAGCCTGGCCTAAGGAGAGAGTTCCAGAACAGCCAAGACTACACTGAGAGACTATGTCTCAAAAAAACAAAAGATAAACACTGAGACTTGGCAGAACTGTCTTGTAACTTCATGAGCCGAACTGATGAGACCCCAGCTGGCTTCGCTGCTCCACTTTAAAGACACACTGCATTTGAAATGCTTTAAATGAACACACACAGGAACCACCATGAAAAGTTAGCAGGTTTAGATACATGGCGATGCTTCTCACGCGGTTTTACACGGAACCTGGTCCAACAAATGACATTCCCACGAGGAGGACAAGCACGAGCAACATCCTCTAGTGTCATTTTCAGGTGAACGTCAGGAAATGAAAAGCAAATTCTTGTAGTGGTATTTTTTTCTTTAAAAAAAAGGTGTGTGGGTTTTTCTGTTTTTTTTTTTTTTTTCTAAAACTAAAAACGGCACCACTGGACGGTGTGTACCTGGCCAGCTTGAGCTCCCGCTCTGACTTTCTTTTGTGACGGTATCACCCTTAAAAAGTGTGTTCATCCTTAAGAGTCAAATTACAGGAAACAAAAGGACGAATTTAGAGGAATGTGGTCATGCAACCTCATTCTGTCTGATGCTTATAGCCTCCTCTACTGAATACAAAAATATACAAAGCTTCTGCCCCAAACCACATAGAGCAAACGTGAATGACGTTTCGCAAAAGGCGGAGATTAAATAAATTCTTGCTTCTGATGACAAGGAAGAGATTTCTGCTACAGTAGAAAAGGCTCATGCCCCAAAGTTAGCAGGGACGGTTAAAGGTAAATCTGATGGAATGGAAAGACTCAGACAGGAAAAGCAAAGAAAGAGAACAAAGAGGAAAGACGGGATCTGCTGGAAAAGAGGAAAATACAGCATGAACCAGCAAAAAGAGCTGAGCAGGTGATGAGGAGGATGCGGGTGGAAACCAAGACACAGCAAAAGTTTTTACAGAGTACCGCCCTGGAAAACTCAAGCTCGGGCTTGAAGAAAGAGAAAGGCAAAGGAGAGAAGGTGAGGAGAGAAAAGCCGAGGAGGAGGCCCAGAGAACAGAGGAAGGCATTTGGGAAGCAAGGAGAAGCATGGTATTAGATGATTCCCCAGAGATACATAAAACAGTTTCTCAGGAATCTCTGATGCCTGGGAAACTGGAAATTAATTTTGAAGAATTATTACAACAAAAAATGGAAGAAAAACGATGAACAGAGGAGGAACGGAAGCATAAACTAGAAATGGAGAAACGGAGTTAAGAACTGAGACACGGGATGGGAGAGGAGGAAGAAAACGGAACTGTGGACTGAGTAGAGGATATGAAGAACTAATCAAATTAAAAAGAGGTTCTATTCAAGCTAAAAATCTAAAAACAAGTTTGAAAAACTGCAGTTGTCTGGAAAAGAAATACAGAGAAAGACAGAAGAGGGAGCAAAGAGGAGAGCAACTGACCCTGAAATTAAAGAGCGAGAAGCAGAAAACTTCCACGAGGTACATTATTGTAGTATTTGTTATAACTTAATCTTTTGTGTGTGTGGTTTTGAGGTTGGCAGTTAAATATTTTCCTTGCCACTTCGAAAATGTGTTAACAGAGCACCAGATGCACAGACAGACTGTGGATTACAACTGTGCACTCTTGGCTCATGAGAGCCCATTACAGGGGAAATTCAGCGACTGTGGATTACAACTGTGCACTCTTAGCCTGTGAGAGCCTATTACACGGGAAATTCAGCGACTGTGGATTACAACTGTGCACTCTTGGCTCATGAGAGCCGATTACACGGGAAATTCAGCACAATTAAAGCTGTGGTTCGGCTGCTGTATCAGAGCTGATTAAACAAGCTGAGTACAACGCAGCCTGAAGTCTTATGTGATCTCAAAGTGTATGTACTTTAGCTGTGAGGTCCAGCAATAGTTCCAGGCATTAAGAATTTAAGAAATTTTTCATAATAATTTATTGATTCACTGAACAATCTGAAAAAGTCTTTAAAATTAACTAAAATAACTACCTCCTGAAAGCTGAACTCTGACTCCCAAACACACTATGGGACACAATGTAATAAAAATAAGAAATATAAGAAACTAATTTTATATCAGAAAAGCAAGACTTAGATGTAATATTTGAGCAACTGCCATAAACTTTAATTCTTTTGAGATGTTTGTAAGGTGTAGTTAGAAAATATTTACCTAGATCTTTCTTGCTCAAAAAAAAAAAAACTCAAAATGCAGAACTCTGAAAACTAGACAAATTTCCAAAAAGATTTCTATGTATCATCCAGAGAAGGTCTGGGGTGATCTGGGGTTCAGTCTGAGAGCACGGCATAAGACGCACCTGGGAAGACATTCAGACAAGACGTGTCCACAGAGCGGAGCGCACACGGAACAGTTGGCCAGCTGCCAATATCACACAAGGCTGGATGCACATTAACACAGAAACATTCTGATCTGTCATCTCCCATAAAGTCTGCTGTGAGAAATGAGGAATTTCTTCAAACGGACAGGACATGAAGTCATCACTCTGTGTAGCCAGCGGGTATGGGTGGTGCACGATCCTGACACCATCCCAAATCCAGAACTCTAAGTCTCTTCCAAGGGATCCCAAATGTACAGGACTAAAGGCCACACCTCAAGTGTGAAGGCCAGAGAGAAGACAGTTGTGGACTTGGTTCTCCCTTACACGATGTGTGTTGTGTCGGGACCCAGATGCGGTGGCATCGTGTGAGGGCAGAGCACAACCCGCAGGTGCCCACGGACTGATCTCACCCTCCCAGGACCAAAGGTCGTGTCTGCAGAAACTACTGAAGTGGACATCATTTCCATGTCTTCTAGAACACTAAAGTGTTTTTGTTTGTGGTGCAAAAAAAAATGGCACTATTGGAGTTATTGTCTTTGCAGCTGGCAACAAAACCAACCATGCAGAGCGAGCCCCAGCATGCAAATGCCACTTGACGTTCACAGCCCAGCGGGTCCAGAACTACATCAACAATACACTAACTGTCACACCGCTCTTTTTCTGGCTCAATGACAACTGTAGAAAACCCTGACTTGAGCAAGATTCCCGGGTGACAGACAAAAACATATTCCAAAACACAAAAACAAGCGCCTGTGGGCTTCTGTGTGGTCGTCGAAATCCTCCTGGTAAAGTTCTGTGGCCACACATGCTCGGCTCAGCTGAAAGGGTGGAGTACAATGGCCACAACTTTGTTACAGACTAAGATCCAGCAGGTGATTCCAATTCCACCTAAAAAGAGAGAAACTCGTGTCAGGGGAGAAGTGGCAACACCTGCAGGAGGAAGAGGCCAAGTGTCGAGGGTAAGAGAGGGAGCTCGTCAGACTTCAGGTCACAGACAGGTACACTGTGTACCAAGCTGAACAACGGGCACTGCCTTACGTCCCTTTCCTGCCAGAGGTGTTCCTGGGCACATCAACACCCTGACCACTATTTTATACTTCTCAAAAAAGTATTAGAAAGCTGGGGGAGGGGCTGGTGGCACGCACCTTAAGACTCATGTGTGTTTATTCTGGGGCCGGAAGTCAGGACAGGGAAACTCAAACTGTAAGTACTCACTGTATATTTTACTATAGCAGACTGAACATGAGACACAAAGAAAGTGAAAAGGATTCAGAATGAGTTAAGCCAGATGGCCTTGACCATCTTAAGACAGACGGCAAAGACACACTGGAAGACACAGACCACAGCTCGGCTTATCTGTAACTGGCAGGAATTTTTTTGCCCCCATTTTTCTAAGTAGCCCTACCTGGTCTGAAACTCCCTGTGTAGACCAAGCGGACCTTGAACTCACAGAGCTCCTCATGCCTGTTAACTGAGTGCCAGACAGACTAAAGTTTACACAAGGAAACTGGCATGTTGGGGGGAGGAGGGCTTTGGTTTGGTTTGGTTTGGTTTTTCAAGACAGGGTTTGTTTTTTTTTTTGGTTTTTTTTTTTGTTGTTGTTGTTTTTTATGTGTAACAGCCCTGCTGTCCTGGAACTCACTCTGTAGACCAGGCTGGCCTTGAACTCAGAGATCCACCTACCTCCGCCTCCCCAAATGCTGGGATTAAATGTGTGTACCACCACCTGTTTTTGTTTTGTTTTTTTAACTGGCATTATTTTTAAAAAACTGTTCCCATGTTGCCAGGGCATAGAGGAGCACACCTTTAATCCCAGAAGCACTGGGGAGGCAGAAGCAAACAAGTCTCCGTGAGCTCCAGGCCAACCGGGGCCACCCCGCCAACCCGAAACTTATTCCTGTGTGTCTGCTCATTCTTCAATGACACAAACGACCTTTAACATCCAGAAGCGAGAGCCAACAGCAGCAAGCTGCTCAGTGCGGCAGCCACAGGGGGGAGGAGGTGACCTCTGAGAGCCTGGGCTGTAACTCCACTCCTGAGCATTCAGAGGGACCTGCAGGCAGCTTCTCTAGACCCACGCGGCTGAGGCAGGAAGGGCGGCTTGCGAAGGGGACAATGAGGACAAAGGCGGGTGGCCTGATCTCCACCACACACCTCTACTGCCTACCTGCCACTCGAGTAGGAAAGGCCACCAGGCGGTCTAGCGGGGTGATCCACTTGCTGGGCACCACGGCCACAGGGACGGAGTAATACTTCCAGATGAGCGAGATCATCAATGCTGCCTGGAGGAAGATGTGGGTAGAGGGGTACCCGTCAGTCCTCGCAGCACACACACACACACACACACACACACACACACACACACAACTTGAAACAAAACTTCATATACTGCGTGACTCTAAGACCCTAATAAGCACAGTCCTCCCTACACAGCAGAGGTTTCAAGCTGATGAAAACTAATGTTTCATTTCCTGCCCTTTCCCAGAAGCAGCTTCTGTTGCCCCAAACTCTCTGCTCAAACGAGCAGACTGAAGAGGGTGCCTGCCAGAGGCCTGGCCCTCCACAGAGCACAAGCTTATCAAGTAAGAGTGTCTCTTCAGCCTTTCTCCAAGCTTCGTCTCTAGGGGAGCTGGCATGGGTGTTGTAGCTCAGGAAAGGCCCACACACCCAGGTCGCCCGGCGTGCCAGCCAGCTGTGCAGCCACAGCGACGCATCAGCAGCACCGCCAATCCCCCAGAAGGTAAGAACACCAGGGGCCAAGGAAGGAGAAAAACCGGTTGGTGGGCTAGCGATGGCTCAGCATTTAAAAGCACTGCCCACTCTTCCAGAGAACCCAGGTTCAATTCCCAGTACCCACAACTGTCTCTAAGTCCAGTCCCAGGGGATCTGATACCCTCTTCTGACCTCCAAGGACACCAGGCACACACACGGTGTACTGACACAGAGGCGGGAAAAACACTCATACTCATAAAAAATGAATAAAAAAGAAAAGAACCAGGGAGCAAGGAACACAGGGGCTTCTAGGATAGGGCAAGGTAAACCAGCTCTAAGGACCTGGGTCTCCAACAGAGATGCTGTTATTTCATTCCCAGCCATTCACAAATGGCTCAGCGGGTAAAGAGCTTGCCGTGCAGTTTCGATCCCCAGCACCCACACAGATGCAGGAGAGAAAAGCATCCGTCTACATTTCAGAGCTCAGGAGATGAAGACGGCGAGAGAATCTGCCTCACCACGTAAGATGGAGAGTGGTGCAGTCAAGGAAGACACCCGGCATCCACCTCCGGCCTCCGTGCACATCACACACGTGTGCATGAGCACGAGGAAAAACACCTACACACGTGCACACGTACACAAGCAGGCAGAGGAAACCAACAGCTGTCCAGAGCCCGGCCGACACCGCGCACTGACCTGCAGTATGTAAAAGGCGACGCTTATAAACCACTTGATCTTGGCCAACTGAGCTGTCCGTGCTTTCACTGAAAGGAAAAGAGGTGAAACATGAACCAATCCTGCAAAATTGAGAAAATACCCAAATACACAGAAATGTCATTTTCCCTTACAAAACACCTTCTAATTATAAATAAAATAACCAATATACTTAGAAATCTCAAACAGCCATGATGAAACTCCTCAGCCTGTATACTAACTCAGAAAATTTGAAAGGTGGTACTGTTATGCTGTCTCAGACCGCATCCTGGAATCCCTGCACTCTTCCTGACGCGCTTGCCACTGGCCGGCAGGACGCAACATCATCTCCATTCTGTGACCTGCACCATCCCTGGACCTCCAGCAGGAGTTCAGCTCCCCCAGGCCTGCACAGGCCCCTGTGTGCTCCACAGTGTGCAACCTACTCCACCTTACACGGTCCAGCAGGGCCTCTCAGGGCACACTGCTCTCTAGAGACACCTGTGTATGCACATGTGTGTATGTGTGAGAGAGACGAGAAAGAGTGTGCCTGTGTATATGAGAGAGACGAGAAAGACAGAGAGAGTGTGTGTGTATGTGTGTGTGTGAGAGAGAGAGAGAGACAAAGTGTGTGTGTGTGAGAGAGACGAGAGAAAGACAAAGAGTGTGTGTGTGTATGAGAAAGAGAAAGAGAGAGAGACAGAGTGTGTGTGTGTGTGTGTGTGTGTGTGTGTGTGTGAGTGTGTGTGTGTGTGTCACCGTGGAGCCCTGGCTAGCTTGAAACTCACCATCTAGACCAGGCTGGCCTGGAATTCAAAGAGACCTGCCTGACTCTGCCTCAGAGCACCACCCTTGGCACAACAGCTGCTCCCTGACATCTATATGTTGTGGGCATGCTTCCGAGAGTGAGACAAAGTACCCTGAGGGCCCACTGTGTGCTGTGGGACAATGGGCTTGTACCCTGTAAAGCTTTGTCACTTGTACTGATTTAATAAAATGCTGATTGGCCAGTATCCAGACAGGAAGTATAGACGGGGTGATCAGAACAGAAGAATTCTGGGAAGGCTCAGTCTGCAGTCGTCACCCAGACTCAGAGGAAGCAAGATGAGAATGTGTCACTGATAAAGGTACCAAGCCACATGGCTAATACAGACAAGAATTATGGGTTAATGTAGGATGTAAGGTTTAGTTAATAAGAAAGCCTGAGCTGGCAGTCCCTATGGTGGTGGAAGTGGTGGATATGGTAGCAGAAGGTTTTAAAGAAACAGCAGAAAAGGGCTATGGTTCTTAGCAGGAGAGAGCAAGGAGTTGTCAGGAAAGCTGCAAGTTACTTTGAGACAGTCGCCCTAAATGCATTAGAGAAACTGTGAAAATCTGCCACAGAAGGAGCGATGATCCGTAGTCAGAAAAGTTACTGCAGCCTAAACAGGAGGCCCTTCTTGTTCAGGACTGTCAGAGTCAGAGTTCTCAAAAAGTGCAGCCACCGATTAGTGCAACGCAGTGTCATTAGATGTGCATCCCTGACGTCTTTGATCTGTCATAGCTCTGTCTTTCTCTTTTTCTTTTTGTTACATCAGGTGTATTGCCCTGTATATTGTGGTAGTGGTACCAGAAATGAAAGAAAGAAAGAAAGAAAGAAAGAAAGAAAGAAAGAAAGAAAGAAAGAAAGAAAGAAAACAGGCCAACCACTTTATGATTTAATGTAGGCCTCTGTGTGTTTCTTTGGGACTGAACAGCTGCGGGACCAGGCAGGACAGAAACCTCCGTCAACAACTGTGTGATCTTTATCTGGACTTTCCTCAGCAAAGCATCAAACCTGGAAATGAAAATCTACAGAGGATGAAGAAAAGTCTACGATGATTTCTAGATCTAGAAAGCAAATGTTTACCAGCGAATAGGAGGAAGTGACTGTGGGAGATCCTGCATACAACTAACAAGTCGCATCACCGTAGGCCCTCTAGGACGCTGACACCTCAAATCCATCCACCAAGGCCCTCCCCGATCGGCCCTCACGACACCTGCCAGGTTACAAGTGACTGCAAGATGGGTACCGTGAGTTTTGAGCTTGTCCGTCATTTTGTTGATCTTTCTTTCCAGTCTGGCATATCTGGCAAATTCATCCATCATGTTAACAGTGGACAGCTCCTGCTTCATGTCCTGGATCTCCGCCCTCATCTGTGACTCCTGTTCTGCATCCTTCTGCAGCACTCTGGACACCTGGCAGGGAGGAGGCCAGCATCAGTGTCCTTCCACACAGAGAAGAGTGGGTTCCCTCAGCTCTGAAGAGGGGACCTGTGTGTGCTCACCGAGACCCAGCCAATCCAGGACTGGCCTTCGAACAGGCCCAGCAACTACACGGTTTAGGGGCTGCAGGAAGACACTTGGGGAGTCGTGTGAAGCAGAAATAGCCCCTGCAGCCAAAGCAGAGCAGGACAGCAGCGGCCACCAGGTGGCGCCCATCAACTATCAGAGCTTGTCAGGGACGGTGCAGAGCAGAAAGGCACAGGTCAGGCCAGCCCCATCATCAAATGGAATCGCTGTGTATACCAGTGCATGTCAGATGCAGTAACAGCACACTGTCAGGAGCCTTCCAAACACAGCAGCGGCTCTTCAGAGCCCCTGCCAGAGTCAGAAGCCCCCCCCCACCGAGACTGGAGACATCAGTGATCACCACAAATACAGTCATGGTAGAAAGAACCTCGTCTAATGAGAAACCGAAGCAGGCCTTTGACATGTTTGTCACTGGCCCTACAGCCAAGAACTCTGCTCACTCACCACAGGGCTGTCAGCAGTGGGGGGCGGGCGCTCAACAGGGGACACAACTTCTTTTTAAACTGTATGACTAACTCCTGCATGTGACATCTTGTCCAAACTTTTTAAGAATAGCTGTTTTTTAAAGATGAAAAGTGGAAGTATCTGAAGTGTACCTGGCCCACAGCAAGTGTCACCCCTGGCTCAGAGGACCCCTCTGCTTGCCACACAATAGGGCAACTGCAGTTACAGCCAGAAGCAAACCCTTCACTCCAGTGTGCACACAGAGTCCAGGTACACAGGTGAGGCCCCATGAGCCCCCACAGTTTACAATCAGAAGCAAACCCTTCACTCCAGTGTGCACACAGTCCAGGTACACAGCAGAGCCCTTAGGCTGGGGCCAGCACTGAGTCATCCTGGCGGCTGTACACTGAGCTCACCACTGGGTCATGTCTGAGGCTGGTACACGGAAAAGGTATGCAAAACAGCCTCTCTTTGCTACCCACGATCCACCGCTCAAATGGAGCATTAGTCCGGCCTGGTCCACCCTGGAGACACAAAAACAGGAATGGACTAAAGTCTCTAAAAGTCACCGAAGCAGAATGCAGCGTACTCAGGGGTTAAGAGCACTTTTTTTTTTCTTCCAAATAGAGGATCAGGGCTGAGTTTGCAGCTCCCATATGGTGGCTCACAACCATTTGTGACTCCAGTTCTAGGGTACCCAAACCCCTCTTCTGAATCCATGGGCACCAAGCATGCAGGTGATATACATACATCATACATGCAGGCACATAAATACGCACATAAATAATTTTAAAGGTCATACACCATTTTTTGCCATTTCTTTCCATTTATTTTTATTTTATATGCATTGTTGTTTTGCTATGGGTGTCAGGTTCCCTGGAACTAGAATTACAGACAGTTGTGAGCGGCCATGTGGTTGGTAGGAACTGAACCCAGGTTCAATTCTGGAAGAGCAGTCAATGCTCTTAACCACTGAGTCATCTCTCCAGCTCCCATACACCATTTAATGGTGGTCACAGAGCTACCGTTCAAAATCAGGGGCTCTATAAAGGCTGCTTAAACAGGAAACAGGAGCAAGCTGGGCCTGGGGGTGCCCGCCCATAGCCCCATTGCTGGGGAAGCTGGGCTGGGGGTGCACGCCCATTGCCCCATGGCTAGGGATCCAGACTCACAAATGCCCTGGAGACAGAACCGAGACTCTGAGACACTAAGTAAGTTTATAAATTTCTATCGAGATGACTCAGGTGGTAGAGGCGTCCAGGGAAATGAAGGACAGATGCTAGCCTTCCTTCCCACCCTGCGAGCAATTGACTAGGAGTAACTCAGGAAAGGGCCAAACAGGTCTGAAAGCTGGTGGGAGAGATTAAACAGCCCGGCTCCTCCCCCCCTGGAATTCCACAGGCGAGAAAAAGGACCAACCCAGGTCACCAGCATGGGTGTGTCTCACGAACAACGAGCCATGACCCAAAGACAGAAAGTCCAGAGGTCTGCTGTCCTCAACTAGTACCAGATCATCTACAGCAACTCCTTGGGCTGGGCCAATCTCCTCCTGGGATGCTGGTTCCCCACTGGTGCCCCCTCAAAGGCCTTGTCAGCCAAACACTCCAGCCATCACCCCAGGAACACACCTCTCAGTCAAGGCTCTAGAAGTAGATCCTGTTAGATTACTATGTCATCCTAATACTTGGAAGCCACAAAATCCTGTCCCAACCAGTTATGGTGGTGCACGCCTTTAAACTCTGCACTTGGTTGGCAGAGGCAGGCAGATCCCTGAGTTCGAGACCAGCCTCGTCTAGAGAGTGATTTCCAGGACAGCCAGGACTACACAGAGAAACCCTGTCTCAATCAATCAATCAATCAATCATCAATCAATCCAAAACTCCCAAACAATGACCTTGCTAAGAGGCTGGTCCGAAGAAACGGAATACCTAAGGAAAATGCTCCAGACAGGTCCTGGAAGGAGCTGGCCCAGGCTTGGAGCAGAAGTGAAGGGGAACTTAGAAACTGCTGAACCCACATCGTGAACACCAGCCAGGCCCCAGAGGCATGCGTGTGGTGTGCTCCTGCCAGGAAAGCAGGGCCTGTCAGGAAGTCCACACGGGCACCTGCACACTGCAACTCTCAGGGCTGCACTCCATGTCTGCCAGGGCAGTGCCTTGGGCACGTGAACATCAGAACTCGCCCCGTGTCTGCCATGTCAGGCCTGGGGAGCATCTCAGAAGAGCCTATCCAACCTGTACATGTGAGTTCGGGGGCATCCTAGCAGTGTGCCTCCCATGCATGTGCACGGAGTGTCCTATGTCCCCTTAAGACAACGCTGGAACCCCACTTTATGAATTAGACAGCCTCAAGCACAGGCAGCATCCCCACCCCAGCAGTCGCCCTGCAGCACTGAGGGTGCTCACTCCCCTGACTGCACTGATGCCCAGAAGACCATGAGCAAAGTTACTGCTCAGAATCGCAGTGAGGGAGGCTACATTCTGAACACCTAAGCTCGGTGCTACTTTCCCAACCCAACCATCTTGTCATCAATTTGTTACACTTAGTCATTCAAATCAGAGGCAGGGGATAGAGGTGCTCTAACCATTGTGGGGAGCAGTATGCTGACCTCATACCAGGGTGTTCCCAATAGCTCCCTCCCTGGAAACCCAGCAACGGAACAAATGGGATCTCTCTGTGCTCTCCCCTGTTCTCCACTATGATATTAAATCATACATTATCTTTCTGCACCCAGAAACCATCCCGGGAGTCACTCCCAAAGGGTTTGACTCATGGATTCAAGGCAGAGGCCACACTGCCTGCAGGACAGCCCAGGTCAGGTCCAGGTGCCTCCTCTCAGCACTTGATGCCCTATGCACCCAGGTAAACACTCAGGCATGGACACCTAAAGTGGCAATCCTTCCTGACGAGTCTTGTAAAGGTATACTGGAGGACTTGAGATGACAACAGGACCTGCATCTCTTCCCTATCTGTCTGAGACTGGAAACTCATGACAAACTCACCGAGGACAGCCACACACGGCCTCCCTGAGCAACTGAGCTGTTTCCTTAGCTCTGCTGTGATGAAACGGCACGAGACACGAGATGGAAGAGAAGGAGCCACACAAAGGCAGGAAGGTGGCCCAGTGGCTAAAGCTCTTGCCACACACGCATGAAGAAGCCGCCTAAAAGGTGGATATAGTAGATGCCCCTCTGTAATTCCAACCTTGGAAGATAGAGACAGAATCCCCACAGCAAGCTAGCTAGTAAGACTACCTTATCAGTGTGCTCTGGGTTTGATGGATTCTGCCTCTGTGAATAAGGCAGAGGACTATCCCGGATATCAACCTCAGTCCTCCAAACACACATATATACATGCCCACACACACATATATACATGTGCCCATACACACAAAAACACACGCACACTACATGAGATTGAAAAATAAAACTACACAAGGAACCAGGATGAAAACACACATAACCTGTGGCGCACCACGCCTGTCCGCGCTCTATGCCCTACCATACAGTTCATGAACCGGGCAAGGGGCTTTAGAGTGAAACACACAAAGACACACAGACAGAGACACGGGTCATCCTTGAAACAGGAATGCCCCCTTTATTGTGTCCAAGGGCAGCTTATATAGGGATCCTTAACTGATAGCCACGCCCCAGCGAAACGCACCAGAAACCACTCCCTTGCCATCAGGAACTCCTGAGGGTCTCGTGCGCAGAGCAGCTGCTAGCATTACAAGTTGTTTACCAGAAATTCAGGATCTGGCGGGTTCACGGCTCCCAACAATAACCGGAATGAACCCCACAAAGGGTCGCTGTCCCAACACGTAAGGCTCTTGCTCTAACCACGGAAACAAACAAACGGATTACGGGGACGAAGAAGAGAAGCTTCTCCAGGAAGACTCAGTTTCCGTCTCTCCCTTCGCTGCCCACACACAGACGGCTGCTGTGATCCCAAATGGGGCTCACTAACTAGGTTTTCCACACCAATCTGCAGACGCGGTCAATTTCCACAGTCACCACCTCAAACCAATCAGTCACCAGTCACACACCTACAAGTTAAGAGTTCCTCTCATCCTTCTTCGGGCTCCACTGATTTGCTAGACCAGCTCACAAAACTCAGGGAAACGTTCTTGTTCACAGGTGGGTTACAAAGAATGTTTTCCAAGGCCACAAGCTGGAGAAATGGCTTGGCAGTTAAGCACACTCGCTGCTCTCGCAGAGGACCTAGGTTCCCAATACCCATGTGGCAGCGTATGCCATCTGTAACTCAGTTCCAAAGAGTGTGGCAATCTCTTCTGGCCTCCACAGGCAACTGCATTCACATGGTACAAATACATACACTCAGAACACACACATAAAATAATTAACAAATAAATCTTTAATAGCTACAGACTAGGGGGCTAGAGAGTTAACCCAGTGGTTAAGAGCACTAGCTGCTCTTGCAGAGGACATGGGTTCAGTTCCCAGAACCCACAACTGTGATTCCAGTTCCAGGGGATCCAACTCCCTCTTCTGGCCTCAAAGGCACTGCACACGTGTGATGCACGTACATACATGCAGACAAAATACACATAGACATAAAAATAAAAATCCAAAAGAAACGCGAGTTAAGCAAGAAGGGTATGGGGCAGGGGAAGGGCCCTCTGCCGCTCGGGGACCGGGCACCTGTAATGATGCATGCCCGGTGCTGCTGCGTGGAAGTGGGTTACCAGAGCGTCCCGTCTGAGGCGTCCTGCTGCCAGAAGGCGTGGCTCCGGGAGTCCCCACCCTCCAGGGTGCAGTAAGCGGAGTTGATTGGAACCTGGCGAGCGGTTAGAAGCTAGGAGCCGCTGAAGGTAGAAACCTTGCAGCACACAACGGGCAAGGCCCGGCGCCCCGGAATCCGCCACCCCCCAGCTGCTACTTACAAAGGAGGACAGCGACGGCAGGAGGATCCGCAGCACGTTGCACCCGAACACGAAGCTCAGCACCAGCAGCCACGCCCAGCGGTCCGCCTCGGACTCGCTCATCCCGGCTCCCACGCACCAGCACCGCTACCGCAGCGCCATGGGGACCACGCCGCCGCGTCCGTCTGCGCCTGCGCACTGCCGCCCCGCTCCGCGACGGCGGCCCCCCGGGAGCCCGATCTGCCAGCTGCGCCTGCGCCGGCGCTCAGCGGCTACGGCGGCACCATGGGAACCGAGCCACCGCAGCTCGCGCCTGCTCATTTCCCCTCTCTGGGGCTCCGCGGGATGGTACTTAGGACTCCTCTTCGCCTTTTGCCTTCCCGGCTACCGTAGCCACGTGGTGCCCATACAAGTTTTAGCAAACCGTGATTGGGTTGCGCTGTCTGTAGTATCTAGAACAATTATTTATGTTCTTACCGAATTACGTCACCTTTATTTATTATCATTATTAATTTTTGGTTTTCCAAGCAGGGTTTCTCTGTGTAGCCCTGGCTGTCCTGGAACTAACTCAGTAGACCAGGGGGGGCCTCAAACTCAGAGATCTGCCTGCCTCAGCCTCCCGAGTGCTGGGATTAAAGACTTGTGCCAACACCGCCAGATAACTCACCTTCATTCTTAAATAAATTTATTTTAGGATAAGTCCTTGCATGCATAGAAACCTGCTTCATAGTAGCAAGTAACTAAAACATGTTTTCTAATCAGCTGCTGCATGATAAATGATATCTACATTTTTAAACACTAGTAAACACAAAGTATAAAATTGTATTTCTAAAAATAAGTTTATTAATCAAAAGAGGAGGAGGTTTTACAGTGAGCTTTTAATGAAATTACCTAAATTAGACAATAATGAATATTCATAGGAAAAGAGCCCAATTCACTTACATATGGTGAAAAACGTGATAAAATGAAAGATACTGGGCTGTGTTTTCTGGATGTTAGAGTCTTGAGAATGAGGAACTGATAGGAATGATGACTAGTTCTACACGTTAGGTGCAAGGAAACATGGATGGTTATCTGCTGTTAATCCTGCCATCTAGAATAAGACCACTACCACAATCTAAAGCCAAATTTGAAGCAAGCTTTAATTAAATACTGACCAGGTGGATGGGCTCTAGCCAGGTTCATCTCTGGGTTTCCAGAAGATGTCCCTGAATCATGCTTTGCAGCAGCTGAAGTATTTCCCACTAGGTCCAACCAGGGCAAGCATACATCCTGATCTACTTCCAGCCTACATCCAATCAGGGGCAAGAATACATCCTGATCTACTTCCAGCCTACATCCAATCAGAGGCAAGCATACATCCTGCCGTACTTCCTGCCTGTGAACCTCCCTCCCACATGTGATCAGCATATCCAGTGAGCTGGCTCAAACTTGTTTAGGGGAGTGAAAACAGGTGTCTTGTTTTCTCCCATAAACAAGAGCCTGGGACATTTCAGGAACTATCTGTCCTTGGGCAAGGGTCTTGCAGAGCAGAGACATTTTTGTCTCATGGATAGGCACAGTAATTAAAATTTAAAATGTGACTTTGGCTTTCCCACTACCAGCAGTGGTGGAATGAATGCTGACGGGTAGATTCCCTCTCCATAAGCTCCCTCTCCAGCTAGACTACCCAATGCTGCAACAGGCTGCCAGATCCAACACACCAGAGCTTTAGATGGACAGAGGAGTAACCGCCTCATGAGAAATGATGTCTCCCTCTCCCCACAACCATCCTCCACTCCCCCATGTCTGCTTACTCTTCAACCCCAAGTCCCTGCCTTTTAGAGAGAAGAGAAAAGTATTAATACTGCAGTCCCCACCCCATCCACCAGTCACATCACCCCAGGAGGGCCATTCTGTCCCTGGCGAGGCAAGTATCCCGTAACAGATACATGCTGTCGAGGTGGACAAGCTCTTCTGGCCTTAGGGAGCAGCTCAGTCTGAACGATTCAGCTCAGCTTAGTTCTGGGCTCCACTCTGGATTCTCAGTTGGAGACGGAGTTCTAATCTGTATAAAGAAAGTGTGAAAGTCGGTTGAGATCCGGTACAGGTTGTGGTCAGCAGAACTCCTAACGAGATCTTGCTTATTTATTAATTCTGCTATGGTGACAGGCCATGACAGTGCAGAGGTTCCTCCATCTTGTGTTCTTGCTGGGGCCATCTCAAGTTTAAATAAAATTTAACCTCCTTGATGAGAATCCCATGGAAAATTACCCAAAATGACCTTCTGGGAACCCAAGGTCAAGATGCCCCAGCTAACAGATCTTCTCTTAAACTGCCTGCTTGTGCAAATGTCCCCTCCAGCAGAGATGCTAGGACATGATTTCTGCCTTTCAAAACCCATGCTCTGGACACTCAGTGCTACATTTAGGTCCAAACACCTAAGTGTAGCCTTAGCCCACTGGAATAAAGACTTTCAACTGACTATAAGCTGTGTTTGAATAGTCATCTCTAGCGGGCTCCCCTTAACACTGTAATAAGTTGCCACACGTTTAGTGGCTTGAGTTTGCATGGATCTGTCACCCTGTGGTCCTGGGCTTTAGAAATCTGCAGTAGAGCTCGCTGGGCTAAAAATACACGGTCCTCCTCTGGAACTCCTAAGGCGGAGTCCATTTTCCAGCTTTTTCCAGCATTTGAGGCCAGCACTCTGGCCTCATGGCTCTCCTCCGTCTTCAGAATTGGCTGTCCCAGCACCCTGTTTGGGCTCTCAGTCTGCCAACATGCCTACCTCCCAATTTCCTCTTTCACTGTTGGAAGCTTTATGAATGCACTGGATCCAAAGATAATCTTCCAGGCCAGGAACCTTTAAATCAGGCAGGAAGATGTGGAAGAAGTCCAAAAATTCAAGGCTGCAGAGAAGAAAAAAGGAAAGATAGAGAGAGGCGAGGAAGATGCCTATGGCCGGGCAGTCCAACATCACCAGCCAGCAGACACAGAAGAAACAGGAAAAGTAGGGCATACAGAAGGAAAGAAAGGTAAAAAGCCCCAAGGTGCAAAGGATCGAACCCAGGACTCCATGCACACCAGGCAAGCAGTCTATCAACTGAGCTTCAGACCTGTTTGAAAAGCTCTGTACCCAGAAACACAGCCTGCTGCTACACAGAGAGGACCAAGAGGTGAGTGACCACCCACCCGGCAGGACACCCCACTCTCTAGGCCCTCCATACCAGGGCAAAACCTTGGGACCCCCTCCCCCACCTGCCTCAGCTTCTCTACCCACTTAGGTGAGATCCCTGCAGGTAGGCTGCTCCAACACCCCCAGCCCATTTACTGGACTCTGCAAGCTACAAGTCCCACTCTGCCCCCAAACCCTCCTATATACCCCACACCCCTGCAACCTCAGAGAAACTCTGAAATACAAGCTGCAACTACACAGAGAGGTCTGAGAGACAGGACCAAGAGAGACCTCAGTGGCTCCCTGAGACACAGACAGCGGCAGTACAGAGCAGACCAAGAGCAGTTCCCAAGGACACAGGCAGCCACTGCAAGGATTGGACCAAGAGGCAAAGACTCTGCTAGCACCAACTGGAGGAAGGGATGGGTAGGCACCAATACAAGAATTCATTCAACAACCTAAGAACCAACATGGGAACACCAGAACCCAGTGGCCATACAACAGGAAGACTTGATCATCCTAACCCAGAAAAAGAAGAAAACAATTTCTTTTTTTGAGACAGGATTTCTCTGTAGCTTTAGAGCCTATCCTGGAACTAGCTCTTGTAGACCAGGCTGGTCTCGAACTCACAGAGACCCACCTACCTCTGCCTCTTGAGTGCTGGGATTAAAGGCGTGTACCACCATTGCCCGGCCTAAGAAAACGGTTTTAAACATAATTTTATGAGGATGATGGAGATCTTTAAAGAAGAAATGAAAAGTTCCCTTAAAAAAAATGGAGGATCCTCCTGAATACTAACCTTCATCAAGCGATGAAAGGAGACAGAGACAGAGAACCACATTGGAGCACCGGACTGAAATCTCAAGGTCCAAATCAGGAGCAGAAGGAGAGAGAGCACAAGCAAGGAACTCAGGACCGCTAGGGGGGCACCCACACACTGAGACAATGGGGAGGATCTATCGGGAACTCACCAAGGCCAGCTGGCCTGGGTCTGAAAAAGCCTGGGTTAAAACCGGTCTCGCTGAACATAGCGGACAATGAGGACTACTGAGAACTCAAGAACAATGGCAATGGGTTTTTGATCCCACTGCACGTATTGGCTTTGTGGGAGCCTAGGCAGTTTGGATGCTCACCTTACTAGACCTGGATGGAGGTGGGTGGTCCTTGGACTTCCCACAGGGCAGGTAACCCTGACTGCTCTTTGGGCTGATGAGGGAGGGGGACTTGATTGGGGGAGGGGGAAGGAAATGGGAGGCGGTGGCAGGGAAGAGTCAGAAATCTTAAATAAATAGATAGATAAATAAATAAATAAAAATGGAGGGCTGGAGAGATGGCTCAGAGGTTAAGAGCATTGCCTGCTCTTCCAAAGGTCCTGAGTTCAATTCCCAGCAACCGCATGGTGACTCACAACCATCTGTAATGAGGTCTGGTGCCCTCTTCTGGCCTACAGGCATGCAGGCAGACAGAATACTGTATACTTAATAAATAAATATTTTTTTAAAAAATGGAGAGATAAACAAAAAATTGGAAGAACTCAATAAATCCCTCAAAGAAACCTGAGGGGGGGGGGACAAGAAAAAAACAATCAAACAGGTGAAGCAAACAATTTAAGACTTGAAGACTGAAATAGGGGTAATAAAGAAAACACAAACCAAGGGAATTCTGTGTAAGGAAAATCTAGAAAAATGAACGGGAACTAAAGAAACAAGCATAACCAACAGAATACAAGAGATAGAAGAAAGAATCTTAGGTGTTAAAAATACTATGGAAAATAGATTCATTGGTCAAAGAAAACATAAAATCCAACAAATTCTTAACACCAAATATCCAAAAAATCTGGGACACCATGAAAAGACCGAACCTAAGAGTAATAGGGATAGAAGAAGGAGAACTCCAACTCAAGGCACAAAAAAATATATTCAACAAAATCATAAAAGAAAACTTTCCCAACCTCAAGAAGGATATCCCTATGAATATACAAAAAACTTACAGAATACCAAATATACTGGACCAAGTTCCCTCATCATATAATAATCAAAATGCAAAACATATAGAATAAAAAAAGAATATTAAAAGTTATAAAGAAAAAAGGTCAAGTAACA